ACTGCTGACGCCAAGCGTCCGTCAGGCGGCCAAAGCAGCGCTGAGTGGGGTGCGCACCCCCACACTGCTCACCCGCTCGGTCACCGGAACGAAGGACGTAGGTGCACGGACCAAAACCCCCACCCCGCTGACGCTGCGTGTACCACTCACGGAGCTGCTGGGGCGGGGGGATGTCCCGCGAACGCTGCTGCTGCTGCTGCTGCTGCTGCTGCTGCTGCTGCTGCTGACGCTGGCCACCACCAGGGCCGCTACGCTGCGGGGCACCACCCCGACCAGCTCCACCCCCTCCGCCACCGCTGCCTCCACCTCCACCACCACCGCTGCCTCCGCTCCCACCGCTGCCGCCACCACCGCCTCCTCCTCCGCTGCTGCCACCGCCACCACCGCCCCCGCCACCACTCCCACCGCCACCCCCACTCCCTCCTCCGCCTCCACCGCCTCCTCCACCGCCCCCGCCAGCTCCACCCGCGACCTTGCCCCCCTTGCCCCTGCCAGGGCGGCGTCTCCCGCTAGGGGCAGACGCCGCGCAGACCGACTCAAGACCAAGCAGGTCGGCAGCAGCAGCAGAGGCAACAGAGGGCAGCAGGGGGGAAGGAGAACACCCCTCAAAGATGGGGGTGCGAGGGTCACCACGAGAGGCTCCTACAGCGACGATGCTCTTCTCCGCCGCCAGGAGGGACTTCTCGAGGAGGTCGACAGTGAGAGTGGTGGGACAGACCGAGAGGTAGTGGTCCCTGACTACGCGAAGGGAGTCAGGGAGGCGTGTGACTATGTAATAGAGAGTGATGTACATGGGGGGGGGGTTCTTGGCGCAGAACTCAGCAGGAAGGGCGGCGCGGTAGCGAGTGTCACTAGTGCGGAGGTGCGTAATGAGGTCAGCGACAGTGGGAAAGGCAGTAAGGTCAGGAAAGAGGTACGGTAGCATGAGGCGGCTCAGGGCAGCAGTGGCAGGGGAAGAGTAGCGCGCAACTACAGCGTCGTACAAGGTCTGAGCACTCTTGTACTGACTAAAGTGCGCGCGCTCAGTGGTAGGCAGGTGGCGACGCACAGCAAGACGTGCAGCAGCATCGCGGGTGGCCCACTGAGAGCGAACAGTGGGGTCAGCATCAGTAGCAGGGGCAGGAGAGGCGCCAGAGGTGAGGTCAAAGAGGGAAAGACCGTCCGCCCTATCGCACTGTAAGAACAGCTGCAGGTCGTCGACCCAGACCTCAAAGTCAATGGCTCGACCCTCAGCGTCAAAAGCGAGGACACTAGGGGTAGCCATGACGACGACAGACGAGCAGTGCAAGCAGTAGGGGAAGGGCACGCAGTGACAGTGGGGCTGTGCTCACCGGACAGGGCAGGTCGGGCGGCTCGGCAGTAGGGCGGCTCGGCTGCTCAGCGGCTCGGTGGCAGGGCGGCGCGGCTGCTGGGCGGCTCGGCTGTTGGGCGGCTCGGCGGCAGTGCGGCTCGGCTCCCGGGCGGCTCGGCGGCAGGGCGGCTCGGCTCCCGGGCGGCTCGGCGGCAGGGCGGCTCGGCTCCCGGGCGGCTCGGCGGCAGGGCGGCTCGGCTCCCGGCGGTTCTGCTGCTAGGCAGCTCCCGCAGGTAGGGCGGCGGTAGGGCCGCAGGTAGGGCGGCGGGTGGGCCGTAGGTAGGGCGGCGGGCGGGCCGCAGGCAGGGCGGCGGGCGGGCCGCAAGTAGGGCGGCGGGCGGGCCGTAGGTAGGGCGGCGGTAGGGCCGCAAGTAGGGCGGCGGTCGGGCCGCAGGTAGGGCGGCGGTAGGGCCGCAAGTAGGTCGGTGGGCGGGCCGCAGGTAGGGCGGCGGGCGGGCCGCAGGTAGGGCGGCGGGCGGGCCGCAGGTAGGGTGGCGGGCGGGCCGCGACGTGAGGGCGGCGGGGCCGCTGTAGTGGGGCGGCGGGGCCGTTTAGCAGAGGGCGGCGGGGCCGCGTGAGCAGGGCGGCGGGGCCGCGTGAGCAGGGCGGCGGGGCCGCGAAGCAGAGGGCGGGCGGGCCGCGACGTGAGGGCGGCGGGGCCGCTGTAGCAGGGCGGCGGGGCCGCTTAGCAGAGGACGGCGGGGCCGCGTGAGCAGGGCGGCGGGGCCGCGAAGCAGAGGGCGGCTGGGCCGCGCGAGCAGGGCGGCGGGGCCGCGAAGGAAGGGCGGCGGGGCCGCGTTAGTAGGGCGGCGGGGCCGCGAAGGGAGGGCGGCGGGGCCGCGAGGGGCGACACGGAGGGTCGCTAAAAAAAAGGAAAACGCGCCTCGGGGCGCGCTTCGGTGGGCCCTAGAAGCAGTCCCTAGGAGGGGACCTGCTCTGATTCCATGTGAAAATGAAGAACGAGAGTGATTGAACTATGAATGAAGTGGGTACATATAGGAAACCCTAATTGGGTTGTACCCCCTATGGGATACCCCACTATAGCCTACACAACAGCATAAGCTATATAATGTTCTGACAATTGCTGCTGCTGCCGAGTTACCACGGATTTTGTCACGGGGTTACCTTCGAGCCCCGAGGGGGAACGATGCGGTTATGGTCGTCGTTGACAGACTGACGAAAATGGCTCACTTCGCTGCGTGCAGGAAATCGATCTCGGCCGAAGAAACCGCTCGCATGTTCGTCGCAACCGTCGGTCGAGTGCACGGGATACCAGCCGCGATAATCAGCGACCGCGACACGAAGTTTATCATCAACTTCTGGAAGAACCTTTGGAGCAGTTCGGGACCAAGCTACAGGTCCGTTCTTCGTACCACTTCGAGACCGACGGCCAAATGGAGCGGACGAACCAGACAACGGAGCAGTTGATTCGTGCCACGTGTAAGGACCCGACAACATGGGAGCAGCAGCTGCCGCTGATCGAGATCGCGTACATCAACGTTACATCAGCGATGATGCATTAGTCCCCGTTTTATTTGAACTACGGGCAAAAACCAACAATGCCCATGACGCCGAGCCCGGACAACCCCATGCCACGTGCACAACAGTTCGCCGAGATTCTGGAAGCTGGCCGGACGCGCGCAACATACACAATTAAACAGCCAACATCATCGCAAAAAGGAACGCTGATCGCCACCGCCGCCCGGTAACATACCAATCCGGGGATTCCGTATTGCTCGACGCACAAAACTTAAGACTGCCCTCGTATCGAAACTTCGACCGGGCGCTACTGTGGACCGTTCCAAATCAGCCACATGATCACCCCAATTACCACCCATCTACTGTTGCCGACAAACTGGTACATCAGCCCACTACCACGTCAGCTTTCTTCGCCCGTATATCCAACCACAAGTCAACTGCCACGACATCGCCCACCGTCCATGACCCGACCTGCATCAGAGCCGATCGTCGAGCCCGAAAAAAATCCGAGCCATTGGATTTACCACCCTACAGGAATCAGGAGGATTGAGTTACTCGTTCACTGGAAGGACCGCACCGCAACCGAGGACAGTTGGGTGCCCCATGCCAACATTGAAAACCACCCTGCCCTACAAGTGTACTTGAGGAGTCGGGGTTTTTTCGACATTTCTTACCACGTGCTTCAACACCGCGTATAGCAGCATCCGTTGTTCGCCTGTTACTGCTAACGGGGCTTCGCCAAAATTCGCCCGCACTTTTTACCAAACCATGCACTGCTGGCCCGGCCGTGTCGGCCTACACCACGGAACTAGCTCGAGCCTCGATGCTAGCATCGCACCAGCTAGCTCGCACGCACCGCATTACCGTTTGCATGTTTCGCGTATAAGTATTCGCTCATGCCTTCGCTCAATTTGTACTCGTTTGACACCCTAGTGCAATTCTCGCTACTTAGATTCATTGCACCCGTAACAATTGGGCAAAAGTGACGCCTGAGTGTTGTATGCAATAGGCAGGCGCTCAGTGAGGGAGATATTTCCACTCCCTCAAATCCAATTCCATACTCAGGAGGCGTCGTCACTCCACACAGCCCTCCAATCAAAGCGTTTCTGTTACCTAACATGTATGCAGCCATCATGGCCGCACTTAGGGATGACCGTTATTCCAACCAGGAAAGCACAAATCTCCGGCTTGTGATGTTTTTTTCTCTTCTCGGTTGCTGCACGTGAGGCTTTTGAAGGAGTAATCGCTTTCTCTAGTTACCGATAGATCCAAGTTAGTGCTCGCTGAGCGTACTCTTTCCCGCCTAGGCCTCGTGTTTCCTCTTCTGTGACATGGAATTCTCGCTTCGATTTCGAGTTCCCTCTGTTCTGCTCAAAGCGAGCCATAGTGATGCGAATATTGGCAGAAGCATAGGCGCTAGTAGCAGCGCTGCCACTAGCCTTGCCGCTAAACGCGGCGAAGGAGGAACTGCGGCCACGATCCAACAGCCAGCCGCTTCCCACGTGGACTATCCCATCACCGTTGATCCGCACGAGCCGCTCCAATCAGCGTTTGACAAGCTCTTGCTGTCCCACCTGCCGCACTGCTGTCTACCAGGTCAGCAGACACGTCAGCAACATCATGACGTGGAGAGCGCTGAAATTCAAGAGGGGGGAAAGGGGAGCAGCGGTGATGGCGAAGAGAAGCAAGCGGTTTGGTTCATGGCTGTTGGACAAGTGGTGTACTTAACACCTACCTTATCCGCTGTCAAGGCCAGACTTAAATCGGGTACAGTGATCAAAGTGCTGTCAACGAAATCGAAAGCGGCGAAGGGAGGGAACGACGGCATAAACGGCGCACCGGTCTCTGCTAGCGCGTGGCCCCCCTTGTAGAATTCGAAGCTCTGTCGCTCACCCCTGCCATAAACCCCCCATCCGAGATCTCACCTTCGCCTGTTTCAGCATCTGCCCTTCCCTCTGCGCCTGCAACTGCTTCCGCACATTCCGCTCTCCCCGTGCCTGCGGAGAACAGCACAAACGTGGCAAACAACAGTTCCACCGCCGGCAGCGGCAGCAGCAGTAGCAGCAGCAGTAAACCCAGAAGCACCACAGCTGGCAGCAGCAAGGCTGGCAGCAGTGGGAGCTCTAGCAACCCTTTCCATACGGAGAACACGCCCTTATCGCGCGCGCACATGGTGCACTACGTGGACGTGCACCTGCCGTGGTCGCACTCCCTCTGCGCCTGCTGCCTCCCCCGCATGCTCCGCCCCGCCCCGCCCATCGCCTTCCAGATCTCCTTGCTCACCTCCCTGCGCAAGCACCTGCAGCAGCCTTACGTGTCCAACATGCCGCCCTACCGCTTCGGCCATAAGCCCCCGCGCTTCATCACCGCATATTCCGCCATCGTCCCGCTCTCCGCTCCTCCGCTCCGCCCTCCAGGTAGTGTTACTGGTGCCAGTGCTGCTGCCGAAGAGAGTGTAGCAGCGCCGACATTGGCGCAGCAGTATTGGAGGAAGGTGGACTCAGCACCTGTGGTTGCAGCAGAGGGGATGATGCTCAAATGGCTGGCAGAGCCACGTGTCGGCCTGCTACTCGACCTCCAGAATCTCAGGCGCCAGCTGGCAGCTCTTCTTCATATGAATGAAATAGCTGCTGCGCGTGTGGCCACCGAGGCTACAGGCAACAGCGCGGCAGGTAGCGCTCGCCTGTGGTGGTGCTGCTGGCAGTGCAGCCACTGCTGGACACGCTACCGCCGTGCCGTGTCCATCGCTGCTTTCACCGTGCTGGTCGCCAAGCTCCCCCGCTTCGTCACTCTCTGGCGGTTGCACATCCGATCTGATTCTGTCATCTTTCCCGAGCTGGTCTTTCAGTTTGACGCAGGGCGGCAGACTGGGGGCGACTGCTTGGCGTCGCTGTTGCTGCAGGTGCTGGGAGTGAAGGGCAAGCAGCAGCTGGAGACCGGCTTTGCTGCCCACCTGCTGCTGCTGCTGCCGGGGGGGAGGCACGCGCATGGGCAGGCGGGAGGGGCAGGGGAGAGTTGGGGGACGGAGGTGGGAGAGGTGAAGGAGTGGAGGGAGGGGTTGGGAGGGGTGGAGTGGGAGGAGTATGTGCAGCGCGTGGGGGAGATTGTCGCTCAGGGAGGGCTGGCAGGCGAGCAGTACCGCTGCTGCTGCTCGCAGTGTGGTGAAGGAGAGAGCACCGAGGAATGATCGACTGGGGCTGTGGGAGTCCCACCCGGCAGCAGTGGCAGCAGTGGCATGGTGGTATCGGGTATGGACCCCACGGAGTTTGCTTTCTTGAGCTCTACTCTCTTCTGCCAGCCGCCATTCGCCCGCGCTGCTGCTCTCATCTTCTCCGACTGTGTTGGCAGCCGCCACAAGGAGAGAGTGGAGGACGCTGCTGTGGAGGAGGCAAGGAACCGGCTGGAAGTGGGGGAGAAAGGCATAGCTATTTCTGCTGCTACTGCTGCTGGGTCAACAGGTGCGAGGACCAAGGGACCCGGCACTGCAAGCGGCGCCAGGCTAGTGCTCGTGAACAGTAACGCAGTGGTTGGGCTGTTCACGTACCGAGTTACCTGCCTGCTGCGGTGGGTGCGATTCTATGGCTTCAGGGTCAACCCCATGGAGCACTGCGCATGCTCCGACCGGAAAAAGCCAGGCGTCGCTCTCCCACATCCTCTTCACGACCTTCCGAACCTGCTGCAGAGGTTCGGCGCTGCGCCCAAGCCTCCGACCGCCACAGGCTCGGAAGGTTCGGCAATGGCGGGTTGGGAGGAGTTTCCGGAGGGGGACAGGGCGGCAGTGGCGGCGCATGAGAAGGACCCCGGGGAGTTTATGGGCATCAAGACGTTCCAGGTGGGGCCATTGTTAGTGTTAGCCTTCAATCTCACACTTTGTACTTTGTATTTTCTATATCCTAGAGTAGTGTAGTTTGCACATTGTGTTTGGTTGGGTGTACACCTACATCCCAACCAAACCCAAATGTAATCTCCAAGCAATCTCCAACCCACCAATTGGAGATTGCCTTGGGATTACCCCCAATCCCTAGGGATTGCCTCTGATTTCCTTCCCCAACTATTCCTTACCCTTCTTGGATGTACTTAAAGAGCTTCAAGCTCATTACTAATGCATCGCTTCTAAGCCTAAGTTTTGATATGGTATCAGAGCTCTACATCCGCACATGCGGATCGTGATCCTCCTATCTATGCGGATGTTCTTCCTGCAAACCTCGTCATAGCCTCCTTCAATCTCGTCGCCGTCGATTCGCGACATTCATGGGCGGAAATTCCCCCCGCACCACTTTCCCGTCAACTTCGACGACGTCTTCAATTTCTATGGTACGCTCATCGACGTCGCTCTAACTTATCGTTCCTTTTTCGTCATCTCTCAACTTCTTCACCGCGTCACCTCTTCTCGTCGGGCCACCGCCCGTCGCCCCGCAGCTTCCCGTCGGGCCGCCGCCCTTCGCCTCGCTGCTTCTCGTCGGGCCGCCGCCCGTCGCCCCGCATCTGCACTTCTACCCCCATTCCCCTTTTCCCGCAGCTGAACAGGTGCAGCAGCGCAGCCGAGCAGCAGTGCAGCAGCGCAGCCGAGCAGCTGAGTAGCCGCGAAGCCGTGCAGCAGCGTAGCCGCGAAGCTGAGGGTGGTGTGTGGGGGGGTGTGTGGGATTAGGGTTAGATCTACGGAAGTCGGCCGATTTTACCTAGTTTTGGCGGCCTAGAAAATCCTTCTACGAGGCATCCCGACGCGGTCCTATCGGTGACTTAAGAGCGGCACTTCGCGCGAGACACCAAGGGATCTCCAGCATGGCCTTCACCGTGTCCACCATGGCCAACCCCATCACCCCACTCCGTCTTGAAGCCGATGGCTCTAGCTCCAACTTCAAGGCATGGAGCTATGGGGTCGATAAGCACCTGCTGAGCCGTGACGTGCAAGGATTGGACCTCAAGGATGTCCTCCTCAACCGTGGCAAGGGAAAACAGCCCCTTCTCCCTCGTGAGCCGACCGAATCCGCCACTGAGACTGACACAAGGGCATATGAGGAAGCCGTTGAGAAGTACCGGAAGTGGGAGAAGGCCGATGCTGCTATTATCAGCGTCTTCATCGCCTCCACCCCTCCAGAACTTGTCAACACGTTCCATAACTACCCTACCTCCAACGCCATCTGGAAGTATCTCCAGGATAGTTTCATGAACAAGACTACAGTCGGAGTTGCCATCCTCATCCCCAGCATGTTCCAGGTCCGCCTTGAGGATTGCTCGGGAATGGCCGACTACATTGCCAAGGTTCAGACCATTCATGGCGAACTCAAGGAGCTGGGTATAGTCTTCCTCGAACAAGCCCCTGCAGTAGCTCTTCTTGTTGGCCTCACCACAGCCTATGAAATCACAAGGAAGATGCTCCTCACGCTGACTGCGGAAGACCTCACTTTTGCCAAGGTCTCCACCGCACTCCTCTCTGCCGAGAAAGACTCCACGGCTCAAGCCAAGGCCTACGACATCCGTGCTTCCATGCCTCAAGCAAGTGTCGCAGCGGCCCTTGCCTCGGCGCCCTTCCAGCGCAACCGCTTCCCACCGTGCACCTACGTCGTCAAGTATGGCAACCGCAAGGGACAAGTGTGTGGTGGCACTAACCACCCCCTTGCTACGTGCTTCAAGAAGAAGGACGACGAATGGTACGCCATCCACGGCATAGACAAGAGGCCACCGAACTGGATGCGTGCGCGAAAGGCCAACCTGGTTGAGGTCCAGGACCCCGCTTCGGCTAGTGCTAGTGATAGTGCTCCTGCTGATTTGCGTATCAACCTGTTGTTCCCTGGCACTGCCATGATTAATGAAGCTTCCTCCCAGTACCTCGGCTCATCACAAGCACCACAATACATAGAGCTCACACTCGACAGCGGCGCCACTCACACTGTGCTCAAGGAGACACTCTCCTTCAAACCCTACGCAACACCTATCCCTCTCCTAGGAGCTGACTCAAGCTTCACCACTCTTGCCAAGGGTTCATCCATAGTCCCGTGCCCCGCCTTCCCTTCCGGCACTGTCACTGGAATGTGCGTGCCTTCACTCCGCCACAATCTCGTGGCCCAAACGAAAATTCAGGAAGCTGGGCTACGCACCATCTTCTGGGAGAACGAGAACTATGGTGATATCCTCGACCCACTCACCAACAAGGTCTTGACTCGTTTCACCCTCAACAGCAGCGGCCTTTACACGCTGCAAGTACCCATCCCACAGGTGTCAACCACCCAAGCAGAGGCAACTACCTCACCATGCTCGTGTCGCAGCTTCTCCAACCCGACCATACTCTACCACCATCGGCTTGGGCACCCAAACTTCCGCACACTTGCTAACATGGCCTCCAAGAAACTTCTACTCGGCCTGCCAGCCTCACTGCCTCCACCACCAGACTCCCCCGCTCCCACGTGCCTTGACCGCACCAAGAGCAAACTGCCTCAACAGCCCCACCCGGCCTCACCCTCTGTCGCAGCAACACCATTGGACTTGGTACACGTGGACGTCTGGGGCCCTGCCCCTGTTCCCGCACGAGGTGGTTATCGCTACTTCCTTGTTATCGTCGATGACCACTCTCGCTACGTCTCTGTTCACCTCCTCCACACTAAGGCTGCGGTTCCAGAGGTCCTCATGGCGTGGGTTAAACAGGCACAGACCACCTTTGACTGCAAAGTCAAGCGCCTTCACTCGGGGTGGTGGTGAGTTTTGCAACGACAAGCTCAAAGCCTTCTGCTCCTCAGAAGGCATCCAGCAAAACTTCACCCTCCCTGACAGCCCGCAGCAGAACAGCATATCTGAGAGCCGCAACCACACCCTGGTGCAGATCACTCGGTGCCTCCTCGGCCACTCCAACGCTCCGCACTCTCTCTGGGGGTACGCACTCTACCACGCTGCCCTCCTCTACAACCTTTACCCCCACCCGCATCTTCCCGACACCACTCCAACCACACTCTGGCTCGGGAAAACGCCCACTGCTCGCTCTCTTCGCGTTTGGGGGTGCACCGCCTATGTCCTCCTCAACCCTCAGGCTCGACGGCAGCACGGCGGCAAGCTCGGTCCCAAGACCCAGACGTGCATCTACCTCGGGCACAACGCCGACTCGCCTGACTACCTCTTCCTCAACCCCTCCACTCAACAGTTGGTCCGGAGCCGCGACGTTGTCTTTGATGAGACCCGCCCATTCTACTCCACTTCGGGGCGGGACCCTCTCTTTGATCCACCCTCCCTCGTGTGGGCAGACTTTGATGTGCCTCCTGACCTCCCGCCTGCTCTGGCCCCTTCACCTCCTACCCCTCCTGCCACCGCACCGTCCCCCTCTGAGGTCTCTGACCCGCCCTCACCGGTGTCTTTGGCAGCTGCTTCTCCCTCCCCCTCACCTGCCGCCCTGCCATCTGCGCCGCCACCTCCGAGCGCACCAATCACATACCATCGGCGGTTGCACCCTCCGGCCCCACCTCCTCCCCCAGTCCCCCCTTCCTCCCAGGCACCTGCTCCTCCACAGCCGCCCGAACTGATCACGTACAAGCGGCGGCCAATTCCCCCGCCCAAGCCTCCTAAGTCAATCCCTCAGACACCGCCTGCTCCGCCCTCCTCTCCGGTAGCCCATGGCACTCGCTCGCACGGCCCTGCTCCCCCTCTGGCCCTGGCTATTCGTTGCTCCACGATCACTTTGACTCCTCCTGCTGGGGAGGATGTGCCCTCTACCCTTCTGGAAGATAGGCATGAGGAGCTTTATGATCTTCACGCAGTCATTCCCCAGCTCTCGCACATCTTCCCTGACATCACTGAATCACCCTCACTCAACTTCACGAAAAACCCGATCATCCCTATCCCTCTCACCGTCCAAGAGGCTCTCTCAGGCCTTCATGCTGCCGAATGCCGTGCTGCCATGGAAGCGGAGATTGAAGCATTCACCCGCAACCACTCCTTCGACGACGAGACTCCACCTCCAGGAGTCAACATCGTCGGGGGCAAGTGGTTGTTCCGTGTAAAACAGCTCCTAGACGAGGCCCTGGTGTTCAAAGCGCGCTACGTAGCTAAGGGCTTCACCCAGCAGCAGTACCGCGACTTCTTCCTTACCTTCTCCCCCACATCCAAACCTCCCACCATTCGTACGCTCATGGATGTCGCAGCTCGAGAAGACTTTGATATCAAATCCATGGATGCCTCATCCGCCTTCCTACAAGGACGTCTCAAGGAGACAGTGTTCATGGACAGACCTGAAGGCTTCCCAGGAGAATTCCCTCCCAACACTGTCTGGAAGCTGAATCGCCCCGTCTACGGCCTTAAGCAAGCCCCTCGCGAATGGCACAACAAGGTGAAAGAAGTCCTCCTCTCCCTGGACTTCCACCCTTCATCTGCTGACCCGACTCTCTTCATCCGCCGTCATTCTGGGCCATTCTACATCCTGGTCTACGTGGATAACTTCATCCTCGTTGCCAAGGACTCGGCCCAGATGACCTCTGTCCAGGCAGCCCTGAGCAAGGCGCTCCAGATGAAAGACCTCGGTGACCTCAAGCACTACCTGGGGATGGAGATCACTCGTGATCGCCAGGCTCGCACCATTTCACTCTCCCAGGAGTTCTACATCGATTATGTGCTCAAGCGGTTTGAGATGGAGCTGTGCACACTTGTTGCCACCCCGCTACCGCTGCAACACCTCCTCACAGCTCCAGCTGTACCCACACCAGAGGCCTGCTCTGAGCCATACCCGGAGCTTGTTGGGTCCCTCATGTATGACATGATGTGCACCCGGCCGGACTGTTATGTGATGCTATCATCTGCATTCACGTCTGTCTGCCTCCCATCATATGTTCGTTCGTTGCATGCGTGGTGTGAGCGTGCGCAAGAATTTGTGTTTTCTGTGGTTTGGTTTTTCTGAGTGTGTGTGAATGTAATTTGGCTTGAGCAGATATCTGAAGTGACTCCTCTGCTCAAGATCTTTCCGACGAACCAAGTATCGCTTCAATCGGAGCACGAACAAGAAAGTTACGAACGTTGGAGTTCGTATGCTTTTGATGTTTGGTTGTGGTGACTATGGGAAGTTGTGGGGTTGACTCAATATGGGGTACAGACTTTTGGGGGTTGGGAAATTCGTCTTTTCTACTATAGTTGCTGCCAAATGGTTGGGAGAAACCAAACCAGGTTGGCAAGTGTGGCCAAGTTGGGTTGAGGTGGATTGTGGAGGTTGGGATAGTGACAAAGGTCAAAGTTGGGTTGCCTATGGGGAAGGGAATTGTATGGCATGGGGTTTCCTTGGTTGGGGACTCTCTTGGGACCTTCCCTCTCGTCCTCCTCATCCCTTCCACCTGGTTTAGTGCTACTCTAATTCTCTTGTGTGAACTTGTGTGAACTTGTTATTGAGTTAAGATTCTATGGCAGCATACCCCCTAATGCAACGAAATTGATAACTCAACAAATACTTCACCTTTTTGTACGATTCAACTTGGGAATTTTAGCTACGGACTAGGGCTACCACATATCCGAAATTGGTGAAGTTTTGACAGGGCGTTTTTCGTCGACGGCGTTTCTTGTGAAATCGACGATTCTGTCCAGAAATTGTGACCAACGATTTTGAGATATTTCGG